ATATGAATTACGAGAATGAGGCGTGTTGTTAGTGCGAGTATTCGTGATTCTATCCGTCGTCCTAAAAGCGGTCTGGCTGCCTCCTTTTATAGCCGCGGGGAGGAAACCGAGGAGTACATAAGAGAGCTACATGTGGAGCAAGGACTATTCGATGGCGTATTTACTCTGGAGCAGCATGGGCGTTGTCGTGGGAGTTCCGTAGATGTCTAATCGGTATGGTCTCCACTTTGCAAGTAACATCTTTGCGCATTTGTTGACTTGGTGGATTGTAGAGGCTCGGCGACCATCGTGGCCGGTCGTCTTAGAGAGCTGTCGTCTTAGAGGCTGTTGTCTGAGGCTGCTTCGTCGGGCTGAAAGTGACCCAGTCTGCGGAATCTGGGTCTCGGCGACCATCGGTGGAATAGTCTGAGGCGATGCGCCTACGGGATCTGATACTGTATTGTCGATGAGGGATGGTAGAAAAGGTGATCGACCGTTGTCCCATCGCTCTGTTGCGGCGGCTTGCCGATCGTGGCTTACGTGGCGGGTGCGGTGGCGCGTGTCGGATCGACGACTGCGGAGAGACTTTTGAGGCGGAGGCGACGAGGTTGCGGGACGAGCCCGGCCTCGGGCGGCGGGCGGGCGTGGTCAATTCGTCCGAGGCCCTACCAGGGGTCCCGGGCGGCGACGGGTGAGGCGGAGTAAGATCGGTGAATCCGAGGCCCCGTCGAGGGGGCTCGGGCGAGACGGAGCGGTCGGTCCGCTGATTCCGAGGCTCTGAACCCGTTCGACTCCCCGTTGCGATGTCCTTGGTGCGGGAGTTAAGCGACCACGGTGGTGGTAACCCCTGCTACTCTGTGCGTCGCGGATGGCGGGAGGTTAACGCGACCGGCGTGTAGTCGGTCACTTGACTGTCTTTGTGCCATGCCATCGTCGTCTGTCGGAGTGGTTGGGCGCTTGGATCGACGTTCGGTCGAGCGGTTTGGTTGAAGAAGCGGCCCGCAGGGCTGGTGCCGAGCCGGCCTCGCGTGAATCGGAGAATCGACACTTCTTCCGAGGCCCAGGCGAGGGGCCTCGACGAGGGGCCTCGGCGGGCGGTCTCGGCGAGTCGGAGAATCGTTAAGCTTCATTGGGGCTCGGCGACGGGGTCTCGGGCGAATCGGAGATTTCGGCCGAGACCTCGTTCGTTTATTCCGTTGGTTCTGTTCTTAGGGTCTAAACAGTTTTTTCGACCTTTGCTTGGGGTACCCTATTTTCGGGTATCCGACATGATGAAACACAGAGGTATCAATAATAATTTACTTGTATTGGTACGGTTGTGCTATTTAACTCTAGAGTTACATGCATAATCACATGTAGTGTTCATGGAAGGTGAACAACTTTGTTAAAGGACTTGAGTTCTTTCAGCTTGTTGCTTCTATCGCTGAGGGAGAAGGTCCTTTATTTCTTCATATTAGCTATTGTCTTTATTTCTTTGGCCAATAGTCTATGCATTCACCTATATATATATTCTAAAAATTAGAATCAATCCAAGCAACTGCAAGTCCAAGTGTCCAACTGTTTTATCTGTAGAATCTAGTTTGCTAACTGCCTGTTCTGCCGAGACTGTGTTATCTGAATAACATAATGGACAGGAGGACCATGAATCCTACTAAAAAAATGGGGAACTATTCTAGAATTTGTAAAAAGGAAACTGAAACATTTCATGAGATAGCTATCCTCTCATAAATGCAAGATGTCAGAACCAAGCTACTTTGCATTCATGTACTATGCATGGTGAGTTGCATAGTTACACGCGACAATTATGTAATCTATTTTGATTGCTAATATCATGATTAAAATCTTCAGTAAACTGGCCTAAGTCTTCATGAAGGCGTTCAATATGGCTCTGTATCTGTACAGTAATGCTCAAAGTGCTTACAATTAGATATCCACACAAGCAGATGACACCGAATAAAATGGCGAGATTGTTAAAATTGGACTCTCATTTTTAGGTTGATCCGCATTCACCAAAATCGTTTTATTTCTACACGGGGTATAATAGCTGTTAGGCTTATGCAACATCTAATCTTAGATATATGGTGGCATATCAAACAATATGATCAGTCTCTTTATATTCAAATTTAATTTCATCTTGCTGAACATTTTCTATTAGTTTTCAGTTAGTACTTCATATTTGAATCTGTGGAGCTTATAATACAGAAACATATTGGTAAACACAATGATTTAACCCTAAAAATTTGTTTAAATTTGAATGTGCTGTTGGAGCTCATTGGAGAATAAAAACAAAACAGGAACTAAGATAAGTACCAGATATGAAATATCAACTACCAAATATGTAATAATTTGTGTATCGTTGAAAACAACATCAAAAGCTCCTTAAGCCATTGGATGAAAGGAAACAACAAGAAGGTACCAGTACCAAGTTATACACTTGGTGTGCCATCAAGACTTTCTAAGTGCAGAGGCAAGTATTGTCGAAAATATCCTAAGATTTTTACATGACCAGATGTCTTGTGAAAGCATGACAACTATCCCTCTTGGACTAAATATATGCTGTTTACCAGACCACTGTAGGCAATGAAATGATGGGGCTGTTCACCGTGCTCTTGAAAATCCAAGAGCAAGTTCAATTCAAAACCATGCTATGCTTATCATTTTCAATTTCTCTTTAGTTATATCCATATTCAGTATTCTAATACCTATAGTCAGATGAAAAAAGAAGGTAGGAAATAAGTAACATCTTTTGTACTTACCAACACAGAGGTAGATGAAACCGAGTGTTCCAAGTCATGGCATTCTGAACAGGCATTTCATCAAACAGCCTAGGGCGTTCCTCATAAGCAGGTGAGGCAAGCATGGAGTCGGCACCATAAAGCGTGTCATTGATCCAGGCTAGGCATCGCCCCATGCTCCACCTCCACCGTCGTTGTCCCAAGTCGCGCTGGTCTCCCATCACCTTGGTGGCGCGGCCAATGGCGCTTGGGTGTGGAATCAGCCTTGCGGTGTGCTACGGGCTTCGGTCCTTTGCAGTCACCGCCATTGACTCCGCTTCCATCAGATAGCCCACGCCCATCCACGTGAGCATGTGGCTGATCCTGCAAAGAGGGAAGTGGCGGCGCCCATGCCCGTAAGGGAGGCGGGGCATGCACGCTCGACGCGCCAAAGGGCGAGGAAGAAGGATGGGTTGCGCACTCGCTTCAGGCGTCGCACATGCCTGTGAGGGCGGCGGGGTAGGAGTAGCTAGCACTATCCTTCCTCAAGCTTCACTGCTGCTACCCGTGGCGGGTGGAAGCGGCGGCGAGCGGAGTGAGGAGGGATGGCGGCGACGGCTTTGTCTCACGCCGAGACGGCAAGCTCTGGAATCTCTAGCTGCTGCACCGTGGATGGTCCGATCAAGATCCAACGGAGGATGAAAAGCAGGCGACTTGGCCCAATGAGGGGCAGAGCTTGGCCCTCATTTCGTCTTATAGAGCGTCATCTTGAGCTAGCCAGTGGTGATTCTATGTGGGATTTAAGGAAACTTAGCAATGTAGTTTGAAAAATTGTTCTATCAACATCATAGTAGCCATATGCAGTTCTATAAAAAAATAGATTTAATAACATTTACTTAGATAAAATGTTTTCTTATGGCAGAAAATTATGGAGGCATTTTTCATAGCATACAGTCATGGAAGCACATGAATAAAGGAGCAGATCATTCCAAAAGTCTAAATCATTCTAAGCAAAAATACTGAAATACAGAGACCAAGAACTGAATAACTGTACATCAAAGACAGAGCCAGACTCTATAAATCTTATTTTTATTGACAGCTTCTACCTTGCACTTGCTACATACAACAGAGAAAGAACTATTGTAAGAAGCAATGAAGAGGCCGCTCCTGAATTTCTTTGAAAGCCTGTAACTGCAAGCACCAAAACACTAACATAGAACTTAAATGTCATTTGTCGACAACACAGCATTCTCAACCACTTTCTCAAAGGACTGCTAGAGTAGAATTCTGACAGCTTCTGGAATCAGAGGATAGAGAAGCAGTTTTAACACTTGAGTAGTGTTGAACTGTGGAAACAATATTTAAGAATCCGCTATCAAGGCCATGATAATATGAAATAATAATTAATGGTACATTGACTATACGATGCTGATAAGAAAGGCAATAATGCAGTTAGGTACTGACCTTGGAATGTTTTAACAAAAGCTCCAATAAGGAGTCTCACAGCAAGTTTTCTGCCTCTGCCTCATTAGAGGCACCACTTGGGTTCAGACATTTTATCAAGCAAGTAGCAGGTGGCAAGCAGACTTAAACGGATGAGCAGGGGAAATTGTTGCGTGCGAAGGGGCCGACGCAGCACTGCACCACGGCATCGATGGTTAGCGTGAGAGCACGACTGGCGGCCTAAAACCAGATGAAGACTACTACCGTGCGACTAATAGTAACCATCATGCTGCAAGGTTCTTAGTATGTTATTTGCCTGCAAGCATTGCAGAAACTGTTGCTCCAAATGGGAGTGTATGGAACAGAGTAAGAGAGTTTAAAATTTAACAATACATCATTAGAAAGTGCATGACAAAATTATTTTCTTTGCAAAAAGTTCAACAAAACAATTAATGCAGCTGTGTAATGGAAAATATGGAAGATATTGATGGGATGGGATAAGGGCAGAATGTTCTCGTATTACCAAACATGATCCGCCACCTATTAATTCATTAATCTATTTGTTAACTTATCAACAGCTGAGGATCTGAATTTCCAGATGTAAAACTCGATCAGATTGATCCAACCACAAAAATCAGTGTGTTAGTTTCAACAGATAGCAATTCTATACTAAGTACTGAGCCCAACCAAATTGAAATACCCACCATTTCATTCCCCTACCCCCTCTGCTTGAGGCCTAGCTGCTCATACTATGGATGCCCCAATTCGAACTTCACCTCACATTTAGCACCTAACAGATGATTGGGAATAGTATTTGCATCATTTAAAAGGAATAAGATCAATCATCTCAAACAAAAGAGAGAATTATGTACTTCTCATCACTAAAAAGGTGCCTGCAAGGAAAATACAAAGAGACAGAATTAGATGGCTATGTAAAAATGCAGGTTCACCTACTCACTGATGCAAGTGTCATGCTCCCTCATGTATAGCATATTGTCATCACCACAGCTGCACTCATAGCTTTCCCATGTATTCTTGCAGCTGCAACCCTTGCACTGACAGTAAAGTTTCTCTTTGCATTCTTCAATGCCTGCAAATAAGAAGTAGATTAAAATAGATCATAAAAAACATCAATTTAGTTCATGGTATTCAAAAGTGGAATTAGAGAACTATCCTTAGCAGGTACATTTTAAAACTTGATCCACTGGTATGCATGAAAGCATTTAGATTTATAACATGAAAAGAGTACTCAAGATTTATCATCAAAGTGTTTTCGTATAGTTTGTTTTTATTAATAATATTTGTAACATGTAATCAGGAAAAGAATAATGAATAGCAATAATTATTATCTGATCAGAAAAATTTTCAATATAACTTATGTCGATGTAATGCAATAATTAAATTCATAGCGTACCTTTACAGCAGGTATATCCAATCCAACGACAACAAATTTTAAACCTTCCACAATAGGGCAGTCACAAACACGCTCAAGGTATCCTGCATTCTCACGTAAATGCAATTAGAACCTCTTACCAGACAAGAATTGAGGGATAATACAAGCATCAGCAGCATGCATGGCGGTTAAAAAATGTACCTTGCATGTAGTAACATTGTTACTTATTAGCCTTGTCTAGCCAGCAACCCCCATTGTTCTTCAAACACTCATTTGCTTGAACCTCTCTATGAGATAAAAAGAAGGAAAGAAAAGAGTAAATGCCCCATCAGATAAGATCTACTAAGATATACCTGCAGTAAAATGAAAGCTCACAGAAATTCGCTCAAACAAATAACAAACTTAGTTGTCTCCTCAAATCCTGAAAAGATCACTTTCAGGACAGCAACTTTGTCCAGCTTACCTGAAGAGCAAAACGAAACCTGACACAAACAACATTGGACCACAAAAAGACAGGCACTACAAGATTAGTAGGGTTGGTGGTATTGTAACATCTCCCCTTTTACCATGACCAATCTATATAATAGAAGAAGAGAACTAAATATACCACAGCTTGATGAAAATATGTATAGTTGGATCCAATCGATTCGACACATAATCTTGTCCATGGGCTGAGGAAACCTGCAGTCGCATCCATCGCAGCCGCCTCATCATTCGCGATGGTGGCGCACGGGGCCTAACCCTATGCTTAGGGTTATGCTTTGAGGCCTCCACATCGGTGCCCAGCGAGAGGCGATGCTTTGTCGCCTTCTTGTAGCCGGGTCGAGGACGGTACTTGGTGGAGGTCGTGCTGGATCGCACTGTCGCAGGCCACCCCGTTCCTGCGAGGAGAACCGCGCCGCCACCAGGGTCTGTGCGAGTTGAAGATGGGGGAAGGAGAGAGGATTGGGCTAAATCGGGTTTGGTGGTTGATTTTTTTTTAATTTTTTTTTACCGTTTGGTGATTGAGTTTGCTGTAAGCGGAAGTCCGGCGGTGGTTCCTGATCTTCCTGCTGCGCGTAGGAGACTCCGTGCCGCGGGAACCTAGCGAACGTGACGCCGATGGCAGGTGACTGCGTTAGGAGTTAGGACAAGGTGATCGATCGGGAGATCGGACTCTATGGAGACGTGGGCCTCCGTCTGCCCGCGTGCGTGGTGTCGGAGGTGCGGACGGGTAGACTTTTGTTTGGGTGAAAAAAAACAGCGAGCGGTGAGGGATTGAATGGCAGGAATTTAAAATCTTATGTTCTGTAGGATGTGGCCCACTTGTTAGGAGTTAATCTCTCCCCTATAATACATTACTTTAAATTATCCTACAGCCACCAAATAAATCCCACCTATACAGTCATGATCTAAACTACATCCACCCCACAAAACGCACGTAGAAAAAGATAACATTAAAAATGTATGTATCAAATTAACTCTCACTCGTTCTCTGTCCTTGCTCGACCACATCCGACGGCCGATATTCTTTGATCTCCCCTTCCACGCAAGGCGTCGCATGCGTCTCCGCTCCCTTCCCCGCAAGGCCGCAACCCCTCCCCGAAATCACGCACGAGTGGGGAAAAAAATTTCCGTAGCAGCGACGGCGACCTCACTCGTAGCTGCGGCGGCGGCGCTCCCACTCGCAGCGACGGCGACTGCAGGCAAGGAGTGCTCGAGCTGCGGCACCCCGACGCGAAATCGTGCCCCTGCCCCAGCGACGCCTGCAGCCTCCGAGGCTCCGCCGGCGCGTGCGGACCCCGCGGCCATCACTCAGACCGCCGCCGCGACCACCCAGGTCGGACGACGAGGCGAATAGCCGGCCGCCCGTGCCGTCCAGGAGGTACGGCGTGCACTTCTCGGCGTCCAGCTTCATCAGGCGGCACTCACCGCGCTGCTCGAGTACTCCGGCATGCTCCGTCCAGATCCCGGCGACGGAACCCAACAGGCCGCCGCCACAGGTACGTGCGCCCGTCTACTTCGGTCACCTGTCAGCCGGCGGTCGGTGCTCGTCGGCCACGGACACGCGCCCTCCCCCGCCGCGCCCATCCGTCTCGGCCTCCCAGCGGCCAGAGGTCGCCGTCCATGGCCCTGCTCCCTCCTCCGCCGTGGTGGCGTTGCTGCTTGCCGGACCTCGCACGCGAGGCACATCCGTCTCGGCCTCCCGTATCCAGACGGAATCGATTTGGTTCTCCATGATGTATTGGACTCAGGTCTCCATGACATGTTCGATTTAGGTTTCATCACTGATTGTTCTTATGTCCCGATGTCCTGATATGTACGGATGAGTAGTATATTAGGTGTGAATTTTGAAGTCCTATGCTCTGATTGCATTGCAGGCACGAGCTATCTCCCTGCCGCCACCTCCACTGATGGCTGCAGCAGTGGCTGCTCTGACGGAGTGCGGGGAAGGATCCGGCCTAGGCAGAGGCAGGCAATCGACACATTCTGCCTGATGGATGAGGAGCTCCAAGAACCATACAGTAGACAAGTGACAACAAATAAGCTTGGTCGTTGTCTCCATCGACGGAATCGACGGAAGGCATCTGAGCTACCAGGGAGACAATGTTGAAGGCTGAAATAGTTGCTAGGAATTATCAAAAAATCGTCAAATGTTTAGTGTAGTTTTGACGTGTTCTTGAGACATGTGCATTTGTATGTCTGTGATGTTATTCCCTGTTATTCTACTCTGAAGTCATCCATCGTGCCACAAGAACTAATGGCTCGTGATGTCAGGAAAACTGTCCTAATGGTTCAATTGCAACCTTGTAATTTTTCTTTTACATGAAAAAAATTGGTGCTTTACTTAGCTTCCTACCACTTTGGTTGTTTCTTGGAAAAAAATATAGTTATTTGGTTGTTGTCGTGTGCATCCCTTAAATGCTCCCGTTGCGTTAACACGAGCATTATACTAGTAGTGTTTAATATCTATTGGATCAAGATCTCAAATCACATCTAAAGGTTAAAACATACGGCAGGTAGGAATTTTCAGGTGACATGTATTTTTTAATTCCTTCACTCTTTTTTATAGTAAAAAATAGATAGATTTGAGAATATATATGCTTATGATAAGTAATTCTCTAATTTAGTCAACGCTCGTATATACACACGAATTCCATCTGCCAAAGCCCATGAACGGCTAGACCGGCCAAATGTGGAAGAGGCGCGCCAAACTTTCAGCTTGAGATTTGACAGCTACCTTATTTTTCAAAAAACAATTTTCACCTTTGCTAAAATAGCCAAATAATTCGCTCGCGGCTTACGAATCCTCCTATACTCTACGACCACCGCGACATGTCCTCCAACAGCCCGGCCTCGCCTGGAGCCGGCGGCACCCGGTGCTGCAAAGCCACGACGCTGGTGGCCGTGGCCGCCACGTCATTCGTCTGCTGCTTCGTCCTCGTTGTCGCCTTCCTCTTCGTGCGCTTCCTCCTGCTTCGCCAGCGCTGGCGCCACCGCACGAGAAGGCTCCTGCAGGAGCAGCATCATCGGTCCAAGCCCGGCCTCGGCGCCGCGGCCATCGCCATGCTCCCGTCCTTCCCGTACCGGCGGCGAGCCGAGGGCTCGACCTCAGTGCCTGCCACCGCGGCCGCCGCCGCCGCCGAGTGCGCGGTCTGCCTTGGCGTCCTGGACGAGGGGCAGATGGTGAGGCAGCTCCCCGGCTGCAAGCACGTGTTCCACCAGGAGTGCATCGACGTGTGGCTCGCGTCGCGCGCGTCGTGCCCGGTCTGCCGTGGCAAGGCCGAGCCGCCGGCGCCGGCGCGGGCCGAGGACGACAGGGCCGCTGCAGCTTCCACGCCGGCACGCGTCGCGGCGGTCGAGATGTTCGGCGACGAAGAGCTCGCCTCGTCGTCAACGCCGCGAGGCGCGAGAGGCTGAGAGGGCACCGTGGACGACTCGGCCGGAGGCCGGTGGCGGCTTGGCTTGACTTGACGGCGTCCCGCTAACTTGTGTACAACAATGGCCAATCGTAGTGATTGCCTGGTACAAGCTTTGATTTGTTGGTCAAGAATCTAAGATAGCAACATCTGCATCGCTCTGGAATAATTTTGTATATTTTGACAATTCTCTCCTGTCTATATTAGGTGTCCATCTAAAATTCTGTATTACTTGTTTGTGATGTATCGTTTGTTACTGATAGCAACCCAGGCTCTTGTGATGTATCGTTTATTACGTGTCCATCTAAAATTCTCTCCTCCTATGCAATGACAACAGAGCTATATATTCGTCATTGAATCACTCTGTTTGTGATGTTTTCCAAGAGTTGGTTCAGCTTAATGACGAAAATGTATCGTTTGTTACTGATAGCAACCCAAGATCATCATTACCTACTTCGTTTTATAACTATGATGATTTTGTCTGTCATAATTGTTTAATGAGTGAAATCCACTAGGGGTCCTTGAACCTGTCCTGCATTCTCAAATAGGTACATATATCCATAAAACCATATTTCTAGATCCCTAAACTTGCTAAATGTATCACCGGAGGTTCAAACCTATTTTGGAACCTTGGTTTTGCACACGGCGCGTCACGCTGCAGAACAGGGTCGGGTTCAGTAGCGCGCTAGGCAGGGCGGCTGTTCGTCTCCACCGTCGTCGCTGCCGGAGAGCCTCTGCGCCGCGGCCGCACATGCGAAGGCGGCGGTGGCCATGCCCACCACCGGCGACGCGTTCCTGGACCTGATGGACGCGGACGTCATCAAGCCAACTCCGAAGCCGACGTCCGCGGTTCGACTTCTTCTTCTACGTCGTCCCCGGCACCTTGGCCACGTGCGTCACCTCCCTCCTCGCCGAGATGCGTGGGCGGCCGAGACCAACACCACGCTCGGCCTCGCGTGCAACCTCCGTGGAGTGCGCGACATTGTCGCGTCCCACCGCCGGTGACCCCTCCTCCTTCGGCTTCGCTTCCATCAATAGTTCGGTACTTGCCTCCCGCGTGGAGAGCTGAATCGCATGAACGGGACAAACAAACCCTGCCTAAACCTCGCCGCGTCCCGTCCCGCCCCTCCCTGCCACCCGACGATTGGATCGGATTTGGACTAGGGTGGATTGGACATCAGCATCTCCAGTAAGCGTACGTCGTCATGTTCATGTTCACGTATTAGATCGAGCTCGCACGCAGCGGTGCCGATCGGCATATATCAGGAAGCACTGCACCACGCCTAGGACAAAAGCTACTTCAATTTCGACGACTAGCACGCAGCGGTGCTATTACTCGGCTCCCTCGTCAACGAGCCTCGTGGAGTGTGACACCACTGGAGAAGATTCATTGCACCACCGACGTGAACGCCAGGCACTCAGCGAGGAGGAGAAGCCTTACCGTCGGCTAATGCGCTGAAAGGTCTTTGTTTGGTTTTGTTAATTGAGTGATAATTTTAGGTGAACTAATATGTGTTTGAGTGAGATACACAGGTGATTAGTCCATAAGTACATCATGTGTGAGCAACCTATACCATGGAGGTGAAATGGCTTGGATATATTGCAAGGCTCACAGATGTGATGAAGGAGCTCATTATTGCATATGAGACATGACATGGAGTCATGTGACTAAGGTGGAGAAGATCAATACAAGACTTGGCTTGATGAACCGGTTGCAAGCGTGAAGTACAAGTTGGAGGCTTTAGAGCGATGGATCGTGTGGTGATGAAGCTTGAGTAAGACTTGGCGCCGATGGACGAAGGCAACGGTGAAAAGCAAGTGAGGTCAAGATCGATGAACCAACAATATCACGTGATGATATGAAGTGGATCATATCATTTGTGATATGGTTGGTGCATGTGTTGCATCAACATTGGAGGAGTTGGAATGGAATGCGCAAGGCAAAGGTATAACCTATAGGACATTTCATTTCACCAGTCATAGGTGTGTAGAGAAGTTTATGACTATGTTTAGGATAGATGGCCGTACTATCAAGAGGGGCAAACTTGTTTACATATCGGTCATCTAGTGCCACTCGAGTGATATAACTTTCCATCATTACTAGGATCGAGTGGCGTGGTGAATTGAGTGTTAATCCTTTGATAAAATGTTTGTGAAAAGCTAACACACTTGCATATGGTGGTGGACACTTGGTGGTGTTGGCACATTTGCAAAGGAGAAGTTGTTGGAGTTGATTTGGATCAACTCGGTGAAGTTGGAGAAGAAAATCATAAGTTTGGGTTGTCCGAAGGTCGGAAAACACAACTAAACTTGTAGCCAACACGTACTCCAGCCTAGGGGTGGCACCGCCCTTTTCGGTGTGCACCGCCACCCCTTGCACGGTGCACTGTCACCCCTGCAGCATGCCCATTTCAGCAGCACCACCCTTTTGTATTTTGGGCATAACTCTTAGCTCCGAACTCCAATTTCGATGATCTAGGACTTTTCAGAAAGCTAATGAAATGCTCTACAAATTTGAGGTGGTGGAAAGCAAGTTTGAGCTAGAGGTGGCACTGCCATGGTCACTGACTATTCAGTGCCTGGCACCAGCATATTTTTCCAGAGAGGGGCAAAAATGCATTTTGGGTGCCGCAGGGGCACCGCCACCATGTGTCCGGTGCACGCACGTTGTTGTTCGGTGACCGCGCAGAAATGTGTTCCAATGCTCCAACGGGTCTATTTGGCTTGGGGGCTATAAATAGAGGTGGAGCTCGGGCTTGAATGAGGTTGAGCACCTTGGGGATGTGTTGCCCTTGTGCGTGCTTGGTTTGAGAGCCCTTTAACTCACTTGTGCTTGCGAGAAGTGCGAATCCATTGCGAGTGAGTGATTCTAGTGCGTTGCATTGTGAGATTGCATCGAGTGGCACTAGGTGATCGAGTTGCAAGCTGGTGTTGCTTGTTACTCTTGGAGGTTGCCACCTCCTAGACGGCTTGGTGGTGGTCTCCGTTGAAGCACGCAAGGAAGATTGTGTGGTGCTACAGAGAAGTGATTGTGAGGGGTATTGTGCTCGCCCCGTGGGAGCCGTGGAGAGCAACACTAGTAGAGCGTGTCATTGAGCTACCCTCACTTGTGGGTAGGTTCTTGCGGTGCCCAACGTGTGGGCTTGGTGGGTGATGCCAATTAGCCGCCGAACCACTAAGTGAATGATCGACACAACGGAGACTAGCGTGTTGGCAAACACGTGAACCTCGGGAGAAAAATCATCGTGTCATCCTTGTCTCCCTGTTGGTTTGCATTTCCCGTTACGCAACCTTGTATTTACATTTCATATATTGTGCCTGTGTAGTTGCTCTTGTAATTAGTTAGCT